TATAAGTTGCATCAACGATTTAACAGACTTTAATTGCAGTGTTCTTAATCTTTATAAGTTAGTAGTACTGTTCGGGTTTACAGTGTGGGGGCGTGTTAGAACGAGCCGTTTTAGGTAGGTGTGGCTGACTCTTAACTTTTATAAAGAATATCTCTTTGGATTTGAGACTTTAGTCTTTGCAACTTTACAGATCTTCTTTATGCACCAAGAGCTTGTAACACTCCAAAGAGAAAGGAAAACTTGAAATCGCATCATATGACCCCTTTAATGTTTAAATTTTTTTTTTCAGGATTCTTTAATGAATAGAAAGTTTATTTAAAATATATGTATATTTTTAATTTAAAAAAGTTTGCTGTCACTTTTGATCAATTTAATGCATCCTTGCTGAATCAGAGCATTAATTACTTTTAATTAATTGCTCTTTTGTTAGTTTTGACTGCTTTTATTGTCCTCAGTTGTAAGTTGCTTTGGATAAAAGCGTCTGCTAAATGACTAAATAAATAAATAAATAAAATAAATAAATTACTATAAAAAAAATCTTACTGACCACTTTTGAACAGTAATGTGTGTGTGTGTATATATATAGTACCTGTTTTCTTTTTCTAAAACACTTGAAGTTGTGCGTCAACCCATTTGAAGACATAATTATATCCTAATATATATTCACATATTAATTTAGCTTGAGTTAGCACAGTGCAATATAAAATCTTATAAAAATACTTTAAAATTCACCTTATAAACTAGAAAAGGCATCTGTTTCATAGAATGAAAAACCGAAGCAGCCCATAGTCTCTCTTTTCACCCATTTTGCAATGCAGAATAAGAGCTGCACAAAGAGAGAACATGAGAGGATGGTGTGCTTGTGCCTTTGCAGTATCTCACATAACCTTTATCTCTGAATTTCAGTGGATTGTAGTTTTCACTGGTATTGATGGTCTGTAAAAGGCACTTCCCTTGACACCTACTTGCATCACATCTGTACCTTCGCTTAGATAGAACGCAGGTCTCAAGCTGCAGCAAATATGGCCGCCTGCGGTCGACCTTCAACTCGTCTAGAACGGCACAGCCTGGTGATGGGGTGGGTGAGGGGATTACACCAAAAAAATGGGGGGTTGAGAAAAAGGATTTGAGATGGGAAGAAAAAGAGGCGAGATGCTTCAAAGAGGGAATAAAGAAGGGTAGAAATCCGAGCAGAGTGAGAGGAAGAGAAATCGAGAGGGAGGGAGAAATGGATGAATGTAAAGAGAGGAGTGGGAAGTGTAGGAACAGGTTCAATGGGTTCATTACTCTTCCAGAAGCCAACATGCATAACGCAGTTCGAGGATAATGCTGTGGGCTCTTATGCCTCCATTAGAACGCCATTGTCTTACCGCTGCATACGAACATTTGCATAAAATACTGACAAAATGTTACAACAAGTGCAGAAAATGTACGTTTTTGCTTTCTTTTGCTGTGGCAGTCATTTTATACTGCACATGTGTGTTTCTAAATCTGTTCTCTAAAAAAGATGATTAGAGATAAATGGGCACAGAAGATATAGCCGCAGTATCCAATATTAACAAGTGCCAAATATAAGTACTGTTGATTTAGGTAAATAAAAGCATGGGCGTAGCTTGTGGGGGCCTGGCTCCCCCATAGCGATTTAAGAATTTTACTAAATTTTTATTTATAACGTTTTTTCTATGAAGTAAAAATTCATATAATGCAGTTAATAATACATGTAAAAGTGAATACATAAAAGTTAATACATTTTAAATTGTTATTGTAAGTAAATTAATAAATCAAAACAAACTTAACGTCTCCCTCAATCTCATTTGCGTAGATATTGTCACGTGACGAATCTGTATTTTAGGTGTAATTCGTGGG